CCACACACACTCCCTAATCCCCCCCTTCAGATCTCTATAAATACCCACAAAAGGGCCACATCACCCTGGGCACAGAGAGAGCTGCTCCTGTCTGTGCTCCTGTCCTCTGAAGATGCCGGTCACAGATGCTGGCAAAACGAAACGTTAGGAAACAAAACTTCCAGAACACGGCCACACAGCCCGGAAGACCCACACCAGCCATCGTATTCCGGCCGTGAAAGCCTTCGATAATACAATACAGCATACGTTACTGAGTAGAATTATAAACCATAGTAAATCCCATCCTTATTACTAAGAATTTGTTCTGATTTGGTTATCCTGTAAAATTGAAATATAGATTCTAGAGATAGAAAAGTGTCCATTGGAGTTGGGGGGCTTATAAAATCGAATAAATAAATAAAAACCGTAATTTTGGATGTGTACAAATCCATGAATTCAGTTGTAGAGTAGGAATGGTTTCCCATTTAAATTATATTTTATATCAGATTTTATGTCAGGTGTGAAAAGAAGTTTTTTGAAGAAAGCACAATAATTTCCAGGCTGGGAAGTTGGCTAAGTTGAGTGTAGGATTCCTCATTGTTCTGTTGACCATTTGGTCTGGCAGACTGCATAGGTCAAGGGTTCCCTTGCTCAGTCCATGAGCACTGAAATTCATCTGGGCCACCCTCAGAAAAATCAAATAGCCAGAAATGTTAGGTGACCATACTGCTGCACAGCGCTGAAGGCAGATCTGATGGTTTGAGATTCCTTCATGTCCTTAGTTTCTTGTCAATGAAGATCTAGCAGGTCAAGATCTCAGCATAGCCTTCTTCCAAATTACCTTTTTCTGCTCTACTCCAGAAAAATCTAGGGAGAGCATTAAAACACATATGTATCTCCATATTCAAGAGGCATAGATCCAAAGAGAAGGAAGGCATACAATTCTCCCCATGACGCACTTAACCTGGTTACATCAAACGAGCTAAACTAGTTAACCGTTAATTTAAGGTTAACAATAAAAACAAACTTTGCGTGTTGTCTTAGTGACCTTTCCTGACCTGATGAACTGTGTTGTGTGAATGCAGCCAAAAGAAAGGCCATTCCTGAAAACAGCCAAGGATGCTTATCTCTTCCTTTCTATGGGGCTTTAGTAGTAAAGCTGGCATCATGCTGTCGCTTACTACATTCATCCCTATTTCACTTCCTGTATAAGGGGCAACTTGGCATGTGCTCCTGGATTTCAGAACTTCTAGCTAGCCATCTCCTTCCAGAACAGTCCTAGGCATATGTTACTTCCTGTGTCTGTTTCCCATGTAGGCAGCCCTGTGTCTCCTTGCTTGGCTCCTTCTCTGCTCTAGCCACTAAGGTGCTAAGACTCTCTCTGTTGTCCCTAACATGTCTTGGACATTGCTATTCACTGCACTGCTTGTGAAGAACCATTGCCTTTTCCATTTCAGCCTTAGTCCTTGCTTTTCTATCTACAGATGTCCTTCAATGGAAACATCTCAGTGGGCATTGTTCACTTTAATCGAAGAGACAAAAATAACATTACCCCTGCTTTGAATTGATTGGATAATATTCAGGTAGTCTCAGTAGTTAGTAAGCTGTTTCTCACAGTGTTTTGTGCTTGTACAGCTTTACTCTGTTGGTCTGGCTTTATTTACTGCGTTACTGTGAGAGATCGTTGTGCGGCATACTGTATTTCATTGATTCGGGAGAAATGTATGGCACCCCTGCTGTATTTCTAACTAATGAAGGTAAGAGGCAGAAAATGCCAGGTGGACTGAATTAATGCTGTCTTAGATACAAAGCAAATGTAATTCAATTTTTTTCCTAAAACACTTCCTAAGAAAGTCAGTCTGGTGGAAGGAACTAGCATGGATTTGATATGGATGGGGAATATAATAGGTGCAAAAGATACTGATTCTTTTACAGTATCTTTCTGTGCACTGAAATGAATGCAAAGAATTTGGGGCACAAGGCATGAGTTTTGCACTGGTTGGGTAGACAGTGTTAATCAGGGGATCTTAACTTGGGATCCAGGGACCCCTTGGGGGATTGTGGATAGATTTCAGGGGCCCATGAACTTGGATGGGAAAAAATACAAATTTATTTTTATACATATTATTATATTACATATTAGTTATTTTCCAAACTTTTGATGACTGTATTTGAACATAATTGGAGTTTGTAGATTGCACCAGACTCTCAAAGGGGTCCCTGACATGGAAAGATTAAGAACTCCTGGTGTAAATGGTTCAGTCAAAGGGCAGAAAGTAAGAAAAGAAATCACGTGCCACTGTGTAGGTGAAAGAATGTTCCAAACCTCTTAAGAACTCTCTCAGACAACAGAATCCCATTTCTGTTCAAGAGGTTTATAATATCAATGGAGAAACAGTCATCCAGACGACTGAAACCAGTATCTTTGGGACATTGTAGATGGAGGGTTTCACATAACCTGCCCAAAATGCATGGACTCACTTTGACATGCATTTTATGGGGAGAAGGGCATCATCGTGAGAGATCTTTGGTGGCCGCCAGCAGTCATGGCAAATAGTGTAGTTGCTGATAGACACCCCTGCAGAAAGACTCTTTCACACCTTGACCAAGCCTTTCAAGAGTCCCTGAGGTCATGGCTTGCCAAGTACCTCCACCCCCAAATTGTCCTTATGTAGCTTTAGATATGAGGCTGACTTGGTAGTCAACATGGAAGCAGCTGGTTATTTTAAGGTTGCAGCACATTAAGCGGGGGGCCCAGATTAGCCCCTTGGATGGGAACAGTGTGCATATATGTATATGTGGGTACATCTATGGGTGTAGCTGGGTTTGCATGCATATAAGTATATAATTTGTATCTGTGCACGTGTACTGCTTTGATTTATGTGTATGTGTGCATGTGTGCATGTTTGTGTATTTATATGCATCAGCAGGTGGTAACACCTGGCTGACCTTATCTGCCTCAAAAGCTAAGGAAGGGTTGGAGAGGGTTAGTTTTTGGATGGGAGACTACCAGGGAATTCCAACTGAGGGCTAGACTGGGACATTGAAGAAAGCAGTACATCTACTTTGGGACATGCAGCTGAGAAAACTACATGTGTTCACAAAGTTACCAGGAATCCAACTCAGCTGGAAAGAGACTCTGTGTGTGAAATGACCAACTGTTTATAAATAAGAAATCTACTTTGAACCTCAGTATCTTCATGTGTTGGGGACCATGTTTCAGGTTATCTTCACATCCAAGGGCACCTTGTCAAAGGAGGAGACATTGCAGTGAAGACCACCTTCCGCCTTCCTCTGAAGCAGTGGTTTCGACTTGATCTCTCCCTTAATGGAAAAGAGGTATCTCTCTCTCTCTCTCTAGAGAACACAAAAAGTCTTCTTCTGGAGAATGTGGGTGGTGGGTATGGAGGAAGGGAATGCCCGAGCTGTTCTTGACTTAGGATAAACCTTACATACAGTACATCTACATTTAAAATAATGTCATCTTACAAGAAAACAACAGGCAGCTATATTATAGCTTATGTTGGTTTCATACTGGCACCATTGTCTTGTCTTCCCCAAAGAATTCTGGGAATTGTAGGAAACTGAACTGCGGACTGTTTTTTCTATGAGAGAGGTGAGGAAACTGCTCAATGGTGAAAGAAAAGCAGTCTGCGTATGTTCAAAGTCACATTATTTCTTGCTTCTTGAAATTTAGCACACTGTAAATGGGCTTATTGACCTTGGTCTAGCCATTTATTGCCCTGTCTTCAACTGAAAATGCAAAACAGTAGTATATCAGTGAATTAAATCTCTTGGATTTCCCATGTACTGTAGAGTGAGATGCACTATCACTTTCTATCTGTTTTTAGATCCTGCTTATATTTGTTGCACATTTGAGTCAAGACTGTATATCTACCATTGGCCACAAGGCTGAGATACTGAGCTACCTGGTGTCAGTGCTGGTCCCATCATCTCTTTGTAGGAATATCTTTATTTTGAGGCTATGCAATTCTTTCAAAGGTGACAGCACCAGGTCAGGCCTGTTAAGTATTTGGATGGGAGACCACCTGAGGATCCCAGGGCCTAGGTTAGACTGAGAAGTTAAAAAATGCAACCTGGAATGAAGCCATGACAACTTGCTTCCAAGAAAAATGTTTGACTATGGCCTTCTAATGACCAAGAGTTGAGTTTGAATCAAGAGCAGGTTTGCTTTTTGAGTTCTCTCAAAAAATCAGTGAGACTGGGAGCCACTATCAAATCCACACACATCCTATTGCCATCTGCCTCAGTTTTGTAAACAGTGAAAAATATATGCAGTCTGAAAAGAATCCATAACATCTGTGCTGGGAAAGGCTTGGTTTCTACACAACCCACATCACCATTTTTTTAAAAATTAACATCTGAGTGGACTGCCAGATAAAATGGAAATGCTCCAGGTTCTCTATTATTAGTGTTTTCTTTCTTTCTTTTTTATTTAATGTTTTCTGGTGCCAGCCCTTCCACACAAAATCTCAATATTCCACAACAGCTAGCTTTATCTCTTGTCTTGTGGGATTGTCATTCTCTTTGTACCAAGAAGACGCATTCCTTTAGATCAGAGATATATACAGGGTGTTAGTCAAGATGGTGGCCACAATGGTCCAATTGAAGTTCCACCTGAACTATGCATAAAAAATAGAAACAGCTTCAATTGCACCATTGTGGCCACCATCTTGACTTTCTTGACCACAGCCTGTCAATACCCCTGCTTTAGATGATGGCTTCTCAAGTCTTGAAGGGCTTAATAGATATTTATTTATTCCCACCAGCAAGCAAGACCATGAATCTATAGTGTGCTTGTAATACACTGCATTGGCACAGATTTTACAATGTTCATAGAGAGGGCGTAAATTTGAGATGACCTCTAAAAATGTAAGGAGGACATCTTATCTATCTATAGGATTGTGAATGTTTAATTTTTGTCCTGAAATATCAGCTAAACACTATAACAAGAATTTGGAGGCCAAAACTTGACTTGTATTTATTTAGTTTATTGTAACATGGACATTTTCAGAACTAATATTTAACTCCTTTTCTTTCAGATAGACATAACCACTGTTGGGAAGAATATGAATAACTATCAACATCAAACTTTTAAGTAAGACCAATTTCAATTCCATTCATATAAGTACCATGTATTTTTTTATAACTGGATTTTCTTTTTCAGATCACTGACCTATTTACATTTTACATTTCTTTGATTATGGAGAATTACAGAGCAATAGTATAGTTTTGTATCATGCCTTCATAATAATTGTCCCTATGTTGACAGTCTTTGTTGATGAACCTCTACATTCAGCTGTCTTGGAATGATTTCACCAGGAAAAATATTACAACCCTTCAATTTTGGTTAAATATAGCCAATCTGATAATGTATTAGATTTTATTTATATTGTCACATAACACTCAGGTATGTACACCTGAGTGATGACATCGTATTTTTTGGACTTGTGTCAAATAACATGATGTAAATATGTAATTGTGTTTGTGGGATGATGTCAGGGTGCACATCTGATCATTTTGATGTATTAAAAAAAAAATCAAAAAGTACTTTGGATAAATGCCCCTGGTAGAAGCCAAGTTCTTTCTGATCCAGTATTACACTATCCAGTAATCTACAGGAAGGAATCATGGAGATCAGTAAATGTTGATCTTGCTAATGTCACCTTCTGTCCATGGGGCCTGAGTGAAGATGGCTGGCTTGAGAAGAACCCATGTCATAGTGCCAACCCACAAAGGGTCTTCTTACAAGTATTACTAGACCTTTGAGAGACCAGACAGACAGCAGCCCATACATTACTTTGATTTATTACAATTCCATGTTAGTTGTTAGACCATTTCTTCTTTATATAATTTCCAACTTACTATTTAGCTAAGGTTGGGACACGTGGTCCACCGTATTATTGCAGCATTAACAAATTATGATGTTACAGAACTTTTGCCTGTACTTTCTTTTTACAGAAAGCTGCCAATATTTTATTGTGCAATCCTGCACTCTACAGATGCATCACTGCATGGGACTCCTCTGCCCTTCCTTTTAAACTCCGTAGTTGGCTGTTTCTAAGTTTGGAAATTTAAAAGATCAATTTATCTCCTTTTCTAGTATTCAGGAAGATTTCTATTTTGATGACACTGATGGGTATTTGGTTTTTGGTGGCAGTGGATACATACCAGGAATCAAAGGATACTTTGGATCAGTGAAATACTACCGTCTTAACAACTTAGAGACCAAAAGGGTGAGTATATGAAAGATGAAAACATGTAGAGACAGATGGACACCAGTCTCTGCTTGACAAGCATAATTTATAGCTGGAACTGCTGATGACTTTAATGGACATTATGGCTTCTTCACTAAGCAGAATAAAACAGAATATATATATATATATAATTTCTTCCTCCATGTTGAGGTCTATGGCCAGGCAAAACCTCTCCTTGCATTTAGGTCTATGGCTGGACCACCCATCCAAACAATTGCTTATTCTCTCAGATGGAATGACATCTTCTCCAATACTTTCCTCCTAGTAGCAGAAATAAATAATCTCTCTGGTGTAAACTCAACACCTAGGTCAACATTGTCAGTATTTCTAGTATCCCTAAAGACCAGGGATGTCTGCAGGGAAGGGTTCCATAAGTAACATGATAGTCCCAGCCATGTGATCAAAGATCTCTTCCCTTTTTTAACATAATTCATGATGGGTTTATCTATTGATAATCTGAACCATTTGATTTATCTTTCATACTTGAACTTTTTTCTTAAAAGTGAAAGTATTTGCTAGACAATGCTTATAATTACTATTTTCTTAAATTGCCAATATTATCAAATGAACACACTATTTTTTTCCCTCCAGTTTTCTAACCCATTCTCCAACAAAGAAATTTCAGAAAGAATTGAGCTGTACTATCAGAGGTGTGCTGATATCCAGAGGGGAGTATCCCAGTATGGATTCTCACTGAAATATTTTGAAGAAAATCAACAATGTAAGTAATAACACTTGATTTTACAACTAGGTTTGATGCAAAAGAGAATTGCTTCACCTAAAAGCAAAAATCAGATGGGAGATGTGATCCAGTGATAGGGGTCAATTCTTCTCCCCTTTTCATTTTCCTGGTTTAAATCGGTTGCCTTCCCTGAAATTCCTGTTTGCTCCACTAGGGAAAATATACAACACACCTATGATTTGGTCTTTTCCTCTTTTCTCACTTGCCAAATGCCCCATTCATTATATATGGACCAGGCATTGCTGTGTTTTCTTTTGCAGAAAGATGAATGGTAAACATTTATATTACCTTCACTTACCAATGTTGCTTGTTTGTGCAATGTTAGTTGTTATGGTTTCCATGAAGAATCTCAAAAAGATATTGAGAATTCTATGAGAGTACTTTACAACAGCTTACAGGAAGATGGAATTATTTTTAAATCAGCTCAAGGACAGTTAGTTATATAAGGACAGTTAGGTATATTTAATTCAGGGACTCTGTCTTACTTGGTTTGCTATAAGTTTGCCTGGGAATTTATTTTTACAATTTTCAAGATTATGTTTTTACCCTGGCTAGAGGCCATTCTGAAATCTGTGTGGTTTTATTTTCTGACATTTGCCAGCTAACATAGGGCTTGCCTACACTCTTATTCAGGCAGTGCTATTTTGGGGCATCACATATTGAAGAAAACCATTTCTTCTTCTTTTTTATGGTAATTTACTTCAGGCCTTCTTGACAACTATTATTTGGAACTGAGCAAGAAATATGGAAGCACTCTGAAGTGTGCTGCTTTTGACTGGGGGAAAGAACTAAGAGAAAAATATCACAGCATGGAGGACACAAGTCTACATTTTCCAGAAGGTAATGTACTTCTTCAATATGCCACGTACTCAAGATGGTGGTCACAATTGCAACATTTCCAAACATGGCCACCAACACACACAGTTTTGAAAGTGGATTGATTGATTGCAGACATTCTTGGAGGATGAGGTCATCAGTGGTAGTAGAAGAAGCAAGAAGGGGTTTTGCAGAGACCTCTGATACAGACCAGGATGACCCAAAAAAAAAAAAAAGGCCAAACATGTGCATGTGGTTTGAATTATGTTTGATGTTGCAA